CGGCAGTGGTCAGTGTATTCCAAATGCCATACAGTAAATGGGGCAGGCAGAACAGTTCTAGCCAGGGCAATCCAGTCGCAGGGGACCATGAGAAAGCCATCAGGGATGGCGGAAATAAGCCCCAAAGTATAAGATGACTGTAACCCTTTGTCTTTAATACTCTTTTTTAAATCTTTATATACCTCAAAGGGCAGTGGCTCATCAATCGGCTGTCCACAATGTTCAGCAACAATGGGGAAGGCCAGTAAAGTCCTCCAGTCCCCAGCTTTTGCAGGCTCTCAGAGACACTGTTGCATGGCCATGATTGGTTGAGTAAACGCCAGAGGAGAATCAGAGGAGGAGGCAGAGAGTGTAAATCTTTGGGCATATTGTCCCAAAACAAGATGGAGGGAAGGTTAAACGAGGAGCCGCCTTTCTCCGTTAAGGGAGGCGGTGGGGGTCTTTATTTCTGTTCAGTGATCCCGCCCGTGGCCATCCTATCCGCCCCTTCTTTTGTGTCTAAGTTTCCCGGTTACAGGGATTTTTAATATGAATAGTGGGGAGAGCCATTCTAACTAGGCGCCAAGGTAATAGATTCTGATGTCATAAAGAGGTCCCGTTTTCCTGAAGCCATTTCAGTTTCTGCCCGACTTTCTCCCATATCTCTAGGTCTAGAGAGTCTTTATCTGGAAACCAAGGACAGTAGCTCTTTACTGTCTGCAATAAGTTAATTAAATTTTGTTCTTTAACTTGTATCCCGCAGCCTTAAGAAGCTGCTGAAGTAGTCGAAAATATATCTTCTGCTCCTTAGAGAGTCCTGAGCACATTTTTATGGCTAGAGCACTTTTGTTTTCATGTTTAGTTTTGCCTTCTCTCATCTCTGTTCCACTTTATCTAATCTTGTAAACCTTTTCTGACTAATTGCTGGGGAATGAGATAAATATAGTGGGTCAAAGTGTACTGCTTGTGAGAAGGGCTCCCAAGAGCGTCACCCCTTGGTCAATTCCTAACTCTCTTACATGTCTCTGTTTCCCCCCTGTCTAAAACAGCCAGGGGGCTCGGAGAGCTGGGTGAGGAACCCTTATATCGCACCTCCCAAGACGAGCCGAAAGCTACATTACTGTGGTTGGAATTCCTTATGAGGCCTCTGCACGTCTTAGGGATTAACCCTAGACCCTCCTGTAGGGACCCCCGAGAACTCAGGCCAGGGGGAGAAAGTGCCTATTATCTTCGGAGTCTGCCAGGACCAGAGCACCCATTCAAGACCTAACTGTTTAACGATTTAATTGTTGGAGACGTCTTAATTACATTTGAAAATGGAGGGAGAAGAGAGAAAAAGTCTGGAAAAACCAGCACTGTTTACTCCAAACTAGATTCTTGCTTTCTCCTCTCGAGAACCAAACCGAGGTGGGAGACGGGCCGCGGGGATGGGACTGCGAGCGTCTTTACCGTGCGCCTCTCATTGCATGGACTTTGGCTCGCGGCTGGCGGGGAACCTAGCGTTCCGTCCTGGTCCATGTCCCAGCTTATTCTTTCAGGGGAGACTTTATTGCAGTGAGCACTCTTGTGGCTTTTAAATGCTCGACGCATGCCCACGAGGCACGGCAACTTCTCAAGGGAGAGAAAGCAAGATCCTGCAAACAGTGTTTGGATTCAGATTGAATTGCTGGGTGTTACCTGAGGCAGAGAAAAGGCAGGGCAGAAAAACTGAAAACTATCAGACGCAAGAGGTGGCCCTGGAAGGAATCTCCCTTTTCCTTTATCTCACGCACACCTGCAGCATAACCAACAAGCGATGGGGCTGCTGGGTCCCTTATCAGGGATGAAAGGCCCCAAAACTCCCATCCAGTAGGTGTGCGGTCCACAACAATGGTTTGTAACCTCTTAGGCTGATCCAGGTCTCGAGGCTAAACAGGGGTTCAGGAGCCTCATGAGGTAGGCTCTCTCCCACAGAATCTTCCCGGTCCCCACGGATGAAGAAATATATTGTACCAGACACAATTTGCCTGTCAGGAGAAGGGGGTGGCGATTCTCTCTCATTCAGAGAATGCTCCAAGCCCTTCTCTGAAGTGGCTTTTACTGAGAACAAGACGTGCACAAGGGTAAACAGCATGCATGCAAAGCTTATCAATCTCTATCAAAAAGGCTATCGATAACAAATGGAAGAAATACAGAAGTTTGTCTTCAATCAAGGTCTGTCAGACAAGTTGGCACGAGATGTTCATTAAGACACAGTTTCTGGGCTCAGGAACCATCTCCTTACTGTGAAGTAAAACACCTGGTTTTCCCTGACCAGGGCAGTGCGAAGCAGAGCAAGCTTCAGTAATTATACTGCATTCTTTAGGGCAGATCTCCCAGGGGACCCTGGGTCTCACTATCAGTCCATGTGCCCCCCAACATTCCTGGCTTTCCAGTCGAGGCTTACAGGCAGGGCCTAGCTCGGGCAGGGCTACAGTCCCCAGCACCCCACCTCTAGTTGCTGTAGCTAACACTCCACTAAGTAAACTGCTTTATCTCCTTCCTCGACTTAAAACGCTTTTCTGGTTCCTTGGTGCCTACAGGGTAACAGTGTAAAAGGCCCTACACATTCCACCAATCCCACTTTACACTGCAATATTAAATGCCATTGTGAAACTACTTCAGGTTTCCAGAGTATGTGCTATTTTAGTTCTCTCTGCCTTGGTTATATCGTGCCTCTGCTTCAATTGCTTACTGACTTTTACTTATTGATCTTTCAAGAAACTTGACTGATTAGTCCTTAAGGGATTCATCATTGAGGAGGTTCTTCTGCACCATGTGCTCCTTTCTATCCTGATTTTTGTCACTGCATAGCTCTGATCTGTCTGTTGCTGTGTCTCCCCTTTCCTATGCCAGATCCTTGAGGCCAGCACAACGCCTACCACATAGTGAATGCTCAGTAATTGTACAACTGCTGAAATATTTACATTTCATGAAAATGTTAGTATATTTCAAAATTTTTAAGTTCCAAGTTCACATCCAAGAGAATCTTAAGCAAATGAAACTCTGAAGAGATAACAGTTCAACACAAGTTTCTTTGGAGTCATTTTCATGACAATGTATTTGTCAAGTACTCAGTACAACAACCTAACAGCCAAACACAGCAAGTGAGCCTTGGATTATGGACTTAAAAGAAGTCACAAAGGACATTACAATTAGAGAAAATGGGACTGAGTTATATGTTAGGTGATATTACTGAAATAATGTTTAGCTTCCTAGGGATGATAACGGCATTACAGTCAGCTAGAATGCCCTTTCTCTTAGGCATAAAAAGCTTTATGATGTCTGCCACTTATTTTCAAAGAATTCGTTTTAAAGAACCTAATACAGAGAAATACAGCAAATATGGCAAAATGTTAATTGATAAAGAATGTGAGTATTCTTTGTGCTAATTTTTCAACTCTATATTTGAAAACATTTCAACTAAATATTTGAAAACAATTCAACTAAAATAAAACATTTGGGAAAAATGTTAAGAACACAACCAAAAATAAAATAAATCTTCTAAAACTTAAGTGTCCTGGCCGTTCTCCCTCCCCAGCCTCCCGGACAGCACCTTCCATTGCCACGTTCACCCCATAAGGCCACTGAAATTCTGACGGGTTTGTGTTTTCAAGGTGAAAGGCACAGTTACCCTCACAAATTAGCTCTCCTAGTTGGCCGATCATCACAACCACCATCACAACGACCATCACATCATTCTTATTTGCCTAAATGGTATTGTATTGCACTTGATACGATTAAGCAAATAAAAGTGTGCTTCCTGATTGGTACATGTAATTCCTTGAAATCAACCATTGGAGATTTTCATCTGGGACACCTGAGGTGATAAGGAAGCAACGAATGTGAAAACTTGAGGCCTTGCTTTAATCCTTTCAGAACTGCCAAGTCTCTAGCAAGAGCTAGTTAAATTTTTATTGTTGTGAAGGTGATGAGAATTTAGCCCTTCTCTTAAATTTCTATTAAATTCAGAGGGAAATTAAGAAAAAAGCATTTTAACATCTTTATTTAAAAGGGTTAATAAACCTAGATATGTACCCAAGAGAAATAAAAATATATGATTACACAAAAACTTGTACATGGCTGTTCACAAGAGCCAAAAAGTAGGAACAATACAAATGTTCATCAACCGAAAGATAAACAAAATATGGTATATCTATACAATGGAATATTAATCATAAAAAGAAATTAAACTGATACATGATACAAGATGGATAAATCCTGAAAACATGCTAAGTTAAAGGAGCTAGACACAAAAGCCATATAACGTATAATTTCATTTATATAAAATGTCCAGAACAGGCAAATCCATAGAGACAAAGTTTATTAGTGTTTGCCTGGAGCTGGGGTCAGGAATTGGGAATGACTAGTAACAGGTATAGGGTTCTTTTTGGGGTGATGAAAACATTCTGAAATTAGGTGGTAGAGGTGGTAAATCTTTGTGAGTATACTAAAAACCACTGAATTGTGCACTTCAAGTGGATGAATACTATGGTATGTGAATTATATCTCAATTGTTAAAAAAAAATGTTAACAAAAAGCAATTTTATCAAACAGTCGAGGGGAACCCAGGGGCATGCTGGGTTTGATTGCGCCTTTGGTCTCCAAGCGCAAATTTCTGGTGGATGAATAAACTTGGAAGAAAAGTTTACACAAAAATTTGCACTGAATATTAATTAAAATATGAAGTGCTATGTTTTAAATTGTGTTTTTCTCCATAAGACTTCCTCCCCCATTTAAATATCTCTTTAATCTTTAGGAAATCTTGCACTCTTGCACAAATGGGTTTTTTTTAAAGATTTTATTTATTTATTTATTTATTTTTAGAGAGGGGGAAGGGAGTGAGAAAAGGAAAGAAACATTGATTGGCTGCCTCTCACATGCTCCCAACTGGGGACCTGGCCTGCAACCCAGCCATGTGCCCTGACTGAGAATCGAACCAGCGACCTTTCATTTCATAGGCTGTCACTCAATCCACTGAACCACACCAGCCAGGGCATACAAATGGTATTTTATTATAGATAATCTAATTTACAAGTCTTTATACACTTTAAGGAAAATATTCAGGCATCATACACATAAACATTTCAATATGCAAAATTCAAATTTACAACAATAAATTTATTTTCAGACTATGTGGTTATTGCTGCACTACCTTTATAATTCCTTATCCAGAATCCAAAGATGTAGGCAAGCCTTAAAAATGTAGCAGAAGCATTTCCACATACTGGTATCCCTTATCTAGTTTGTGCAGGAAGTACTAGATTCATACAACCCTCCTTGGAAGAAAGAGGTGAGGACTGGTCATTTGGTTGCCCTTCGGACCTTCTGCAACTCTTCAATGGACTTCCATTGTTGGTTGACTGTTATAAGCTTAAATAAAAAAGCAAAATAAAATGTTTCATTAGGACCTGTCCTTCAGCCTTACATCCCCTTTGGGGGTTTGTCCACACTCCCCTTTAGAAAAAACATCACCATAGCATTTGTAATCAAAGAATCACCTCTTCCCACCTCTAAACCATGGACAAGACAGTAATGTGGGCTGGTTTCTATCACTCTATCCCTCCAAAAACCCCTTGCATTTCTGGGTGTTATAGGACTAGAGAGAAAGGTCATATATATCTGCCCACTTTCCCTTAATGGGATCTAGATTTTTTAATTTCCCATGGTTTTACATGAACTGTAAGTTTAAAAAGTAAGTCTGCTCCATGCGAGTGGATGCATAATGCTCCTAGGATATGGTGGATAGTAGGCTCTAAACAAAATTTCCTCATTCTAATTACTCACTAAAAGTACGAAGGATCTAAGTTATACAGTAAAGGAAAAGGGACAGAGCTATGGACAGTCCTTAACTTCCAAAGGACTCACATTCAGAAATTCTCATTTATCCTCACAAGTTTTCTATTGCTCCAGGACCTAGGAGATGCAGGTAGTTTTAAAAGATCATAAATGTCCTCACTAGGTCAGACTGTGTTATTTGAAAGTTTTGCTAAAAAAAACAATAGCTTTCCTGACAGACCTTAGCATTGTTCAGTCTAATAGACTAAATGTTTATTACTCCCAAAATACTTAAAATGTAAGAAGTCTTTGCAATAGTCTCAAAAGAGTAAGTGAATATTAGCTATTTTTGCTTAAAGTGAATGCTACTTCTGTTTTCAGGAACTCCTGTCAGTGTTACAAAAGGCCTTATATTAAATTTAGATAAGTAATGGATAAAATCAGATAATGTATTGCAATTATGATAAAAAGTTAATATTTGAGTGCCTGCTATGGGCCAGGCATGGTGCTATAGGACTCTATGTATTTTATCTTCTTTAATCTTCTTAACCCTACTATTGTGCCCATTTTATAGATTCTGAGAGTCTCAGAGGTTGAGTTGTCTAAAATCTCCTGTGACTAATGGAGCAGGGATTTGAAATAGATCTCTACAACTCCATAGCACTCTCATTGACATTATGCTAAATGATCCCTAAAAGTGAAAAGTATTAAGTCTGTTTTGCTGACAATGATGCTAAGGCTTGGGCAAAATGTAAATCATTTTTTAAATTCAGAAATACCTTTTGAGGTACATTAGGGTCCACACTTTCCCAAGGTTCTGGATTATTTTTTCGATCAATGCTACAAATAAAGGAAAGCTGATTAAACGTTAAAGTAGGTCAATTTAAACCAACTCTGATATTGGGTCTATAAGCATGCTAGGGACAGACCCAGACTGCATGCTAAGGCGATCACCTGTTAGTTAACTGAAAATAATGGAAGATTCCTTAAAGTAGCTTCTCGGGTCAAACATTAGGGATTAATTCCTCTGAGGGTAGGAGACCTGAATTCCCTTTACTGGGCTAGACTGGAGAATATTCTCATAAACTAAATGGCAACAGGGGTGGAAACCCAGGCTAACAGAAAGCAAAAATGTCCTTCCCCTGGTTTCTGGGACTAACAGGATGGCTAGGGTTGAACTCTGCATGTGGTGAACTGCAGAGCCCTCGGCCCCTCTACCAAAGCTGACTTTTCTAGCCCTGCACTGGGCAAGCTCAGTTTCAAGTTTCTCTCTTCCTCATATTCCATAATATATGGTATTTTACCTTATATCCACAGCTGAGATAAGATTCATTGCAAATGACTGAATCTGTAAACTCTACCATATTTGGAAAGGTCTTTATACTAAACTGAAAGTTTAAAATCTCAGCCCTGACTAGTGTGGCTCAGTGGATTAAGTGCTAGCCTGGGAACCAAAAGGCTGCTTGTTCAGTTCCCAGTCAGGGCATGTCCCTGGGTTGTGGGCCAGGTCCCCAGTAGGGGGCACACAAGAGACAACCACACATTGATGTTTCTCTCCCTCTCTTTCTTCCTCCCTTCCTCTCTCTCTCTAAAAATAAATAAGTAAATCTTTTAAAAAAATAAAATAAAATTTTAGCCCTGGCTGGTGTGGCTCAGTGGGTTGAGTGCTGATCTACCCACCAAAATGTCACCTGTCAGGGCACATGCCTGGGTTGTGGAACAGGTCTCCAGTTGGGGGCATGTGAGAGGCATGTTTCTGTCCCTCTTTCTCTTTCCTTTTCCCCCTCTCTAAAAAATAAAGTCTTTTCTTAAAAATTTAAAATTTCATTAAAATGATGATCTAAGTTTGATGATGGATGTCCCAAAAGACCATTGAAGCATGTTAAATGTCAAAACTTGAGTAAAAACAAACAAACAAACTTTGCTGCAGAAGAAGGGAGGGGGGCAATGGATGAAAAAATATTTAGAATTAAGGAACAAATTAATTTTACAAATATAATTTAATAGTTTTCTGATACCGTTATGCTTTCTAGCCCTGACTCCAACTTCACAATATGATGTTCTTGTCCCGGGGGGAAACTAGGAAATTGTTATTATACACTTTATAAACCAAAGACCATCCTGACATTGCTTAAAACGTTTTTATAAATGATGTCTACTTACATCACATCGTTTTTCTTAAGGGAATATACAGCAAAAGACGAAGCTCCGCTCGCTGCCGCCGTCATGATCACCACCAAAGGAATAAGCTAACGGAGAAAAGGTTAAGAGTAAATAGTCCGATATTTCAACGTGGAATATTTGATATATCACAGAATAGCTATGCACCATCTGCTCATCTTTAAAAGTTAAAAACATTTAGTCAAGATTTTCAGTAGCTTTAAATACTTACTTCCTTCTTTTTCATCAGGAGTTGAAAAAATTTCATGATGACCTCAGTGTAGAATGCCAAATCTTGAGTAAAAAAAAAAAAAAAATCCAAGATAATGCTCGAAACTTCAGCCACTAGATCCCAAAAAGGCCAACGAACTCCCAAAGGCAGCCTGGGGCCGGCTCCGCAGCGCCTTCGCCCTGGGAGGCTCACCTGGGGGGCGGGGCGGGGGGGCGGGGCGACGCGCGCGGACGATGCTAACGACCACAACCAAACGGGGCCCCGGCCTCCGCTCTTAATATATCAACCACAACCCCTCCGGAAGGGCCTGGCCAAGGCGTTCTGGTCACGGGTCGGGTGGGGGACGTGCGGGGCCCCACTCGCTTTTCTCGCTGGGTTCACAGCTCAAGGGCGCCCCCTGCAGGACTCCGTGCCCGCAGGCGCTGTGCAGCCGAATGCGGGCGCCGGCGCCCCCTGCCGTTTGCCGCGGTTCTTACCCCGCGTCCGGCTTGAGCCCAGGATGGCCGTTGACGCTCTGGCTGGTTGCCAGCCTTCGGAGGCGTCTACAAGGGAGGGGAACTGAGAACAAAAGGAGCGCTGATGGCCATGGCCTGAGTGAAAACCAACGCATCCAAAAGGGGGTCCGGAAAAGGAGCTGCAGAGCGGTGGTCCCCCGAGGGTGGCTCCCAGGTGCTGGCATCTAAATTAGAATTAATCCAAGCACATTAAATGCTCCAAAATGTGATCTAGCGCACCTATGGAGATAATGAAAATTACGTCGTAAAGTTCCTCCCAGGGAAAAAAAAAAATTTTTTTTTCCTCCAGTAAAATAGTCAAGGGTGAAGGAGAACAATAAAAAAGAATCAGCCAGAACAATTTCTAGAATAAGGTCCATGTCTGAGATGACCCGGTCTGCTGGCTTCATCTTGAGGTCCCTTTTTAACTCACCCCTAAGCTAACGGCCTCGCCTGCTGCAGAGCACGCCGGCGGCTGCAAAACCAGGGAAACGACGTTACCAACAATTCCACTAAAACAGGCGCCGTGCGCCAGGCACTGCGCCAGAATCTTCCCGGCATTTATGCAGGCAAAGTATGTTATTAAGGCTCAGGGATGCTCAAGCCACCTAACCAGTAAGTGGCAGAGTTGTCCCCAGGTCTCTGTGGCACTCAACACTGTTCTTTGCACCCCGCTCCTAGCTACTGCAGTTATAGAGCAACCTCAGTTATTTAAAAAGTTATTTAAAACAACTGTTTTGAAACTATTTGACCTTCAAGCTGTAAGTCAAGGTTAAAACGGAAACGTCTTAATGTTCTCTGGAAAGAGCCAGACGCCGCTCTCTTTGAACCCGATTTTAGTTCTATCTAAAGTCAGAGTCCCGTCCCTGCTCCCCCTGCCCCCGCCCACTTTATTAGCCGACTGACTTGGAGAAACTACCTGGCTTTTATGAGTCTCAGGTTGTATACCTATAAACTGGGACAAACCTAGCTCAGGAGGAAGCTGGAGGGGGGAAGTTAGACTGTATGTAAAGCATGTGACATTCCGCCTTGCCTATAATAGGCATTCAATTAAACAGTAACTATTCGCAAATATTTGTTTTATATGAAACAGATTATAAATGTAGCTTCTCACCCACTTTGACAAGGATTCTTACTGTGCAAACCCAGAGCTGTAACTGGAGACATTTGCCTATTGGTCAGATTTACATCAGATACTTAAAGAAACTCAGCATTATTTCTCCCTAGTGTGTACTGAATAGAATTAAAGAAGCCTTTTAGTGCTCCTTTCGGCAGGATTTCTAAAGCTACTTTTCTCATAAGGTTCTTTAAAAAGGTTTCATTTTGTTCATTAAATGCAAGTTTTTCTAGGGAGGAAGGGTAGATGGAAGACAGGAAGAACTCTAAGAATGTATAATGAGCGTAAACTGCAAGTGCTGCTTTGCTGATGTCATTTCTTTTCCAAATGCAGTATAGTTTTATAGTAGTCAGGCATTGTTCTGAGAATGGGGGCACAGTAAATTCAAAGGATTAATAAGACTCAAGTCTCTTACTTCAAGGTTATTACAATGTAGTGCCCATAAATTCTAACTCTAGACATTATCTGGGGCCCAGACAGATAATTCTGGCTAAGGGGGTCTGACAAAACTTACCAAAGGTGAGGGTATTTATTTGAACAAATAGATAAACCAACTGCAAAAAATATTTTGGAGGCAACTATAAATACAGGCTAGATATGAAATATTAAAGGAGTGTTGTTAATTTTGTTAGGTGTGATAATGGTATTATGGTTATGTTAAACCATATTATGTTAACATATTATTATGTTAAACCATAATACCATTATCACACCTAACAAAATATGTTAAAAAAAAAAACCTTTTTAAAGAGTGTATATATGTATATGGAAACAGGTAAGGGAGAAATATCATGATGTCTGAGATTTACTTTAAAATGCTTAAGTAAAAAACAAATAAAGCAAATTTAGCAAAATAGTATTCAATCTAGATGTCAGGTATGTGGGGGTGTGTTAGTCCATTCCACTTCTACATACATTTGAAAATGTTCAGAAAATGTTTTAAAATTCACATATTGGACATATATATAGTTACAGATGTAGCATGTCCATATAAACTTTACAGTCTGCTTCTTTCTATTGCAGCAATGAGAATTCACCCAGAAAGCCACATTTCTCCTCCTTTCAGTTAATACTCAGATTATTGAATTTGTGGGAGATACAAGGTCAGTATATCATCTGGTCTTTCCCAGGATGACTAGCAGGCACAGCTCCCACCGTCCAAACCCCAAAGGAACAGGCCCTGACCAGTGTGGCTCAGTTGGTTGGGTGTGATTCCCCAAAGTTAACAGTCACCAGTTAAATTCCCAGTCAGGACACACACCTGGGTTGGGGTTCCATCCCAGGACTGGGCATGTTTGAGAAGCAAACCCATCAATGTTTCTGCCTCACATGGATGTTTCTGTTCCTCTTTTTCTCCCTCCCTTCCCCTCTTTCTAAAAATAAAAAAAAATGTTTTAAAAAATCCAAAGGAACCCACTCAGGACACTTCACCCTATGTGGCTGCCCAAAAGCCCATAATCTTGGGAGCTTCCCCTCCCTACCTCAATTGCCAGAAACTTCTAGAACCTTCTCTAACTACTGCAACCCAGGCTTTCAGAAACATAGAGCCATGACTGCTTGGTTCCCACACCAGAAATTTAAACTTAGATTTCAATCAGCTTACAGTTTTTGAGAAAAATATTCTTTTATTAAATTTTGTTGAAATTCTTTCTGCCCATCCTTCAGTGGCTACGCAGTTAGCAGGTGTAGCAAATATTGGGTTTGCTAAATTTTGGCACATCTGAGGTATACTACTTTATTGTTTAAGGCTGTTAACAAGGCTCAGGAAGGAGTTTGTGCTCCATGTGCAGGGAAAGCTATTTGTACTTTCCAGGTACTTAGAAACTGAAGTGTTTTAATTTTCTCACCAATTAAGAACAACTTTTGGAAGTTGCCCAGAGCCAGTCTAAAATCACATTAAAATTGAGTCGAAGCCAACAGATTGGTGGTTACCAAAGGTGAAGTGAGGGAGGGGGAGGATGAAGAAGGTAAAGGAGATCAAATATATGGTGACGAAAGGAGACTAAGCTTTGGGTGATGAGCACACAATATACAGATGTCAAATTATAAGGTTGTACACCTGAAAATTATTATTAACCAATATTACCCCAATAAAGTTAATTTAAAAACTGAATGGGGGAAAAAAACCTGAGTCAAAGAAATCCTTGATCTCAGCACTTCCTCATTTATTGAGAATTCCAATGAGAGAAAAACATGGTTTTTGCCCTCAGGGGGCCTTCTAAAGTTCTGATAAGAAGTTATAGTTACAATTTGAACAGGAATTTTCAAATCAAAATTCAGCTTCTAACCAAAGTGTGGATACTAAATTTCCAGGCTGATACTAGAAACTTTTTCAAGGAAAAAACAAGAGGCCTACAGTTAGAGTCTGAGTTCAGGGGCTCAGGGCAGCATATCTCGGGCCTCGGGTTGGCAAAGGCTTAATCGTTGTCTTGTCCTATAAAATCAATTGATAGGGAACATGAATGAAAGCTTTCAGAATTCTAAGAGTTTCCCTAGATGTTTTCCCCACTACTCAAAAGCAAGGGATCAGTTTGTTAGAATAATTTACATGAAATACTGTATGTTCTACCTATAAATAATTATTCTCCAAATAGTGAGGTTTTGCTAAATGAGTCCAGGCTCCAGTCAGAAACAGACAATTTTCCAACAACTTAACATTTATGACTTTATATATTTCATGCACTATGCTCTGATCATACCCTTAACACCTTTTGGTTGTATGTAATTCACTGCATGACTTGTCTGAGACCTCTGCTCCCGGCTTGCCTATTAGTATGTCTTTCTCACTCACTCACACTCCAACAACTACTACAGCACCTCGTGAGTGAAGAAAGGCTCGGTGAGATGCTCACCGGATATTGTTAGGTGAGAAAAACAATTTACATAGTACCATGCCTTATCTATACATGTATAAGGGACTAGAAGGTTAAATACCCAAGTGTTTTCTTTGTGATTATCTGTATTTTCTAGCATTCTAATTACTTTCGTAATAAAGGGAAATAAAAATGTACATGTAATCTATCTCCTTAAAAATACTTATAATTACAAAAGGAAAAAATAGTAGCTATACAGTGAGAAACTGGGTAATACCATAAACAAGTAATCAAAATTAACATGACCAACAATATACAGACATTACATGCCTCAAGCTGCAATCTTGGACACGATAGCACTTACATACCGCTCGGCTGGTAATGCATAACTGGAATCTATCACCAAGTGATAACAGACTAACACAAATCAGGAACCATTGTCCTGTAACATAATTAGTCTGTGCTCTTCAAAAATGTCAAGGTCAAAAAAGACTGAGGAACTGTTTCAGATTTTAAGAGGCTAACGAGGAAAAAGAACAACTAAATAGATATATGATCCTAGACTGGATTCTTTAATAGAAAAAAATGACAAGTGGCATGATGGTTGGAAAACCATGGGAAGATAGATTACTATATTGTATCGAAGTTTAATTTTTTGAATTTGACAAATGCACTGTGGTCATGTAAGAAAATAACCTTATTTTTAAGAAATATACACTGGCCCTGGCCAGTATGGCTCAGTTGGATGGAGCATTGTCCCGTAACAGAAAGATTGTGGGTTTGACTCCGTCAGGGAACATACCTAGTCTAAGTAATTTTCTTCCTAATCTACCCCTCCCTTTAACATTCCATTTCTTCTTCCTCCCTATTCTTCATTATGGCACCACCACCTGCCCAGCTAATCAGGTGAGAGATCTCAGGGTCATTTTGGACCCCCCCTCCACCTACATCTTATTACCTCTGAGATCTATCAATCGCTCACACATGCATCCTTTTCTATGCTAGATCCTTGAGGCCAGCACAATGCCTGCCACATGGTGAATGCTCAATAATTGTACAGCTGCTGAAATATTTACATTTCATGAAAATATTATATTTCAAATGTTTAAAGTTTCAAGTCCACATCCAAGAGAATCTTATCAAAATGAAACTCTGAAAACAGTTCAATACAAGCTTCTTTGGAGTAATTTTCATGACCATGTATTTGTCAAGTACTCAGTACAACAACCTAACAGCCAAACACAGCAAGTGAGCCTTGGATTATGGACTTAAAAGTCGTCACAAAAGACATCAAAATTAGAGAAAATGTGAGGTGGACTCTTCAGGTCCCTATCCAGGCACCAGCTGAGGGAGCGGGCCTCTGAATCCCGCAAAGCCTGTCCCAGGGTTGTCACGGATGGGGTGAAATAAAATGAGTCATTCCAGACACTTCTCTGTCTGCCAGGAGAGGGGGCTCTTCCTTCTAGTGGAGAAGGTCAGAGTCCCTTTTTCCAAAGGCTTTTATTGAAAGGGTTATCAATGTACAGATGATCTCATTACATCAGCATGTTAATATTTACAGAAAATAGGTGATATTTTGAAGAAAACAAATGGCAGGAACACATCGATTTACATGGGTCCAAGAGGAGACGAGTAAACATAACAGCGCCAGATGGTTCAGGGTCAGGGTCTGTGAATAATGTACATTTCCTTCCCCGCATGAGCTGGTTATCATAACCTTTGAGGGAAAAACAAAGCATGCTTTAAAGAATTTGCTTCTAGGCCTGATTTCCCCTGGGAACCGCCCAATCCAGTTTAGGGCCGTCTCCAGTATTGTTTCAAACCTGAGCCGGCGGGGAGGGCAGAGCAGCCAGGAGATAAGGAGACTTCTCTCAGATAGATTGAGGACCCCAGCCATATCAAAGCCAAGGGGTGGGGGCCTCTTTGCCCTTTCTCCGTGTCCCCCAAGGTTTTCCCTGATGCCCATTGCAGCTATGCCTGTCTTAGGTTGCCCCTTCCATCGAGGGGTATTACTCGTCATTGACTAACCAGCCATCTTCCAGGGCCAGGCAGGGTGATGTGAGGGAGGCAGGGGCTGTGTCCCTGCCAGGGAGACAGGTTTTGTCTCCTCAGTAGCCTGTCTTCCCAAGAGCTCCTTGATTAGCTCCAACCTTGGGGCTCTCTTGTTTGTCGGCGGGGCTACAGTTCCTGAAACCAGACAGGGCATTTCCCAATAAAAACAGAAATGAGTTATATGTTAGGTGATATTATTGAAATAATGTTCAGCTTCTTAGGGATGATAATGGCATTACACTCAGCTAGAATGTCCTTTCTCTTAGGCATAAAAAGCTTTATGATGTCTGCCACTTACTTTCAAAGAATTCGTTTTAAAAGAGCATAATGTACAGAGAGATACAGCAAATATGGCAAAATGTTAATTGATAAGGAATGTGAGTATTCTTTGTGCTAATTTTTCAACTCTACATATTTGAAGGGGCATTAGGTATAATACCTATGCTTAATCACAGGCGTACCTCAGATCTGCAGGTTCACTTCCAAACCACGGCAATAAAGTATCACAATAAAATGAATTGTAATCTTTTTTTGGGTAGAGGGTATTACCTTCTATTTGTGAAAAATGCAACATCTGTGAAGTACAATAAAGTGAGGGGAATAAAATAAGGTATGTCTGTAGTTCAGCATATGGCAAAATGTAAAAAATTGGTGAATATGGGTTAAGACTATATCAGAGTTCTTTATACTATTCTTGCAGCTTTTCTGTAAGTATGAAATTATTTCAAACTAAAGTTAAAAAAGCAATCAACCAAAACCAAACAAAAACCACCATTCCCACTACAAAATCAACACACATATATATACTTTCTTCCTAAATTATGGTATTTTAACATACCTTTTAGAAATAAGAGAAATCTTAGCTTCTCAGGCACGTTTGTTTGTTTTATTTACAGGAAATAACATATACACAAACTCTAAAACTATGAAGTTGCAAACTATAGTTCGAGTTCACATTTCAATTAATCCTTGAGCAGGTATATTTTTAAATACCGTCTAAATTAGAAAATCCTTCTTTCTGAAATAAGTTTTTATATAAAGTCAAATCCTCGTGACTTAAGGACGGCTTTACAGTCAGAAGTGATTTTAGAAAGTGCTCTTGTTTCACAGCGGTTGCTTCTAGTCCATTTTCTTGCAAAGCCAGCAAGGCAGCCTAAGAGAGACAATAAAATAGTTTGCTTCATTTTTGTTTTATAACACAGTCTGAATGCAAACATCTCAGTCTCATTTCACAGAATTCCAGTATTCATGACAACAAAAACATTACGCTAAAAAGTTAGCGATTAAAAGTTTTCTTAGTAAAACTTTCCTTCTACATTAAATTCTACCCTTATAAAGGAAAAAAAGAAAAACCAAGATGCAGAGTAATACAGACATTATGAGCCCATATACATATTTGAGGATGAGAGACTATCTTCCTGACCTCACACTAAGAGTTTCTAAACTGGACAAAGCACTGATGATAAAGGACAGATCAAACACGTACTTTATGACCCAGCAATTCTCTTTGTAGATACACAAAATACACATGAAACAGACATGCATACACATGTATACAAAGAGACATGTACAAGATTGTTCACAGCAGCATAGTTCATAACAGCAAAATTGTAGGTAACCTGAATGTTCACGAGTGGTTTCCTTTAGGATAGAGTAGGAAAGCCCAAGGGAGGCTTCTGGGGTGTTGATAATACTCTTTTTTAAGCCGAGTGGTGGATACACAAATGTGTTCACTTTATATTAACTCAATGACCTGTACCTTATGATCTCTGCATTTTTCTGAAAGTTATACTTCATAGAAGTGTATGGGAAGCATCTATGCACCCCATGTCCACTGAAGCATTACTTACAATAGCCAAAATATGAAAGCAGCCCAAGTGCCCATTAATAGACAAGTGGATTAAAAAAAGCTGTGGTGCATATATACAATGGAATATTACTTGACCATAAAAAAAGAATGAAATCTTACCATTTGTGACAGCATGGATGGACCTAGAGGGTATTATGCTAAATCAAGTAAGTCAGACAGAGAAAGACAAATACCATATGATTTCACATATATATGGAATCTAAAGAACAAAATAAATAAACATAAAAACTTGAAACAGACTCAGATACAGAGAACAGACTGATGGTTGCCAGAGGGACAGTGGGGGTGAAGGATTGGGTGAAAAATTGAAGGGATTAAGATGTATAAATTGGTAGTAACAAAACAGTCACAAGGATGGAAAGTACAAACAAGGAATGTAGCCAATAATATTCTAATAACTATGTGTGGTGCCCGAGGTGTCCTAAAAATATCAGGGGACCACTTTCCAAAGTATGATCGTCTAACCACTATGCCGTACATCTGAAATGAATACAAAATAATATTGAATGTAAACTGTGATTGAAAAATAAAATTAAAGAAATAATAAAATTTACTTTAAAAAAACTAAATAACTTAAAAAAAAGTTTATGCAAAGGGAAAGAAATGGAAAATGGCTTCTTTTGCCCCCAAAATAAAGTCTAAATGCCTTAAAGTGTCTAATAAGGACCTGAGTGATCCAGCCACTGCCCACCTCTTCAATAATGTCATGTCATTTCTTACCTCCAATTGTCTGCATATTTTATTCCCTCTGCCTCGAACACTCCCCTTCCTTCCCTCAGCCTGGTAACCCCCTCATCTTCCTCCCACTTTCAGTTTACACACCCTCTCTCACAAAGCCTTCTCTGACGCCCAAGTCTGGTGTTCTTCCTAGGTGCTTCCGCAGCACCCAAAACTTCCCCAACTCACTACACATTTTCGGTTGCTAATTCGGTGCTATGATTGACCCCTCTGCACACTCTGCCATCAGCTGGTAAGCTCTGTAGGGGAAGGGGCCGCACCTGTCTGTTTCACCTTGCCCCGTGCCTCCCACACAGACGTCTTTCAGTAATACTGCCGAGTGAGTGACGATCTGAATAAAGGAGAAATGATTTGAACCATCCATTTCTTCACTCATTAACTTACTTCTTTGCAGAGGTTTCCAAGATCAGCTCCAGAGAAAAAACGGGTTTCTGCAGCTAAGATTTCTAAAGATACATCAGGCCCCACTGGCATGTTTTCTGCACAGACTTTCAAAATAGAAAGCCTGCCCTGGAACAAAATAAAATATGTTTATAACCTTGTAACATTTATGTTTGACGCATGCTATATTAAAATATTTTAAGTTACAGTTTCCTATTATATTACACAGAAAGTATATATAGTTAAGAATCAAACAGTAAGAAAGAATCGCTTCTGAAGAGGTAAAGAAGTTTAACTCATCAATGGCTTACATGACAATGGTAAAAATAATGATGTCATGTTAAAATTTTAATATTTTTACAGTTGATTTTTAATATAACCAACCGCAGATATAGCTCTTTAAGAGAAATGATGAATCTCTTTTTTGGGTGCAAACAAGGCCATCAGACATGTTTAAAAGCAAATACATGAACTATCTGACACAGTTTAGAAATATAACAGACATTTTAAACAATTTTTTCATCCCTTTGAAACCTGATAAAAGCCCAATGACGGAAAAAATTCATTCTCTGTGTCTTTCACCACTCCCTGCCAGCAGCTCTGGGTGTTAAGGGCAAAGAATTCACTGATTCTTTAGCTGCGGATACATTACATAATCTCTAAAATCTGAGAGTTCTCCACTGTAAAATAAGGATGCTGGCCCACATAAACTCCAAAACCCTTTAGGATTCCTCCATTCTGGTTGCAAAATAATGGTGAGTAGACTCAACAAACTTAGTAAACTCACTGAAATTACTACCTTACTTTTTGGCTTATGTTTCTCTGAAATTAGGGCCAGAGTACCCAGAAAAAGCAGATCGAAATAGTGATTTATGAAGGGCCACCAGGCAAGAAGAATGCAGAATCCAGTTTGGGATTCAATGCTGCCAGGCTCCTCAGAGTTCAGACACTCACACAGAGTAAAGGTGTATAACAATTACCTTTTCATCTGGAGGTGGAATATAAATAATCTTATCTAATCTTCCAGGCCGTAACAAGGCATCATCTAACACATCAGGTCTATTTGTTGCCGCAACAATCATGACATTTTGATTAAAAACTTCTTGAAACTCTAACTGAGGGAAAACACACAACACAAAATTAGGTCAATAAATTGTTAATTATTAAATGTGTTTTTTTTAATTATAAATCAGAAGGTCCATTTGTTTTTAAATAGGGATTTTTTTCTTGGGACTAGAATGCTTATACCTCCTATCTGGGGTACTTTCTCAATGTCAAGGTACCCCATTAGCAAATTACTGATCAAAGAGCTACTTGCACACATGATGAAGGGAGTAGCAATCGTGAGGGAACCTCTCCCCAGGAAAGGTCTTACTTCAGGTCAGAAAGCATCTACGTGGTTATCTGAGGGCACCTAAGCCTCAGTGAGTGTTTACAACTTAAATGGGTGACTTGAAGAGACAGAAGCATACAATAAACACGTGATGATGTATGGCTATGATAAGTCTTGGTTCGCCTCCTCAAAGAGAGAGATTTACTTGACTTTTTATTTTTCTTACCAGAGGCAGAAATATAATTAACCTAAGTTGTAGGTATATAAATCCTGCATACAGATAAGCAGCCAGGGCAAGGCCTTACATATGAAGCATGCACAATTGTTTGGTGAACTGAATAATCGAGGCATCAACAGTTCTCTAGTAATGTGATCTCTCAAAGCAGCGAGTCCCCTGTATCTGCAAGTATTTTAGCTGAGGTAGGATAAACACCTGCAAGGTGCTACAGAATAATTCTTGAATTTTGAGATTTGATTAGAAAACTTCATGGGTCCCCTCAAATTCTAGTGGCATATGTCCCTAAGGAGCTGTAAGACTTTCCTTCTGTGAACAATTTTAAAAGTGGGAAATAAGTAGTAACAAGAAAAGAATAAAAGAAAAGAAAAATTATCTGTCAGGGATTATTTAAGGATATCAAACTCTATCCAGAGAACACTGAAGGGAAGAAGGGGACTTCCAAAGGTTATTTTAATTTCATTATAACCAAGGATACCCCTTCCTCAAGGAAACTGGAATTTTCAATTCTAAGATTATTGAAATAATAATGTTTTGTTCCACCAAAAAAAAAAAAAAAAAAATTAGAAAGGGATGAATACTGGTTTTTCAGGATGTAGAAATAAAAAGAAACTCCCTTCTCCATTAGCAATATGTAAAGTTATATTTCTACATCTCAGAATAAATAAAATTCACATTCATATATAGCTAAGTTATAAAATTTACCTCACTTTTTCCAACTAAATCACAATTTTACTAGCTTTGTATATATCATAAACAGAGGCAGACTGAAATTATATAATTCTTTCTATAAGATGAATCCAGCTCAAGGAAATCGAGTGTAGATGCATTCTGTTTAATGTTGTCCTGGATTTTTGGTGTAATCTGGCAAATAAATACCTCTTCATTTTTTTCCAGCTCCTTGTATTTACCCTGATGATCTGATTTACTTCCTCTTCTCTCTATAGGTTTCAGTCCAACACCATCTAATTCATTCAGGAGAACAGAAAGAACACGTTCTTGAACATTACATCCTGTTTTGCTGATTGATCGAGAGCCCAGGATTGAATCAATTTCATCCAAAAACACAATTGCTGGAGTATTTGCTCTTGCTTGTCGAAATACCTTTTGTTGGGAAAATAGAAATATTAAAAAGCTACATAATATGCCTTATTCATGTGAATGGATGTTTTCTACATTCTCTTTTTACAATGTAAAAAGGAGAGAAAAATTTTAAATGTCTAAGGATTGGAGAACAAATAAATAAAACTAGGAACAATGAAGTATTATTCAAGGGTTAAAAATCATATTTTCAATGAATTTTTAATATTATAGAATTTTAAAAAGGATAATGGTAAGTTAAAAAAATCACAATAAAGATACATATATATCTCCTGCCCAAGGAAAACGACAAAAGAAATTCACCAAGATGGTAATGTAGGTAGAAAGATTATGAATGATTTCTTATTTATATTTTCTATATTTTTCTAATGAACAAATATGTATAAATTTTCTAACAGGAGAAAAAGCCAGTTACACTTTAAAAAACAAGGTTTATTCTTAAGGTATGAAATGAAAATTCAAACATAAACTTAACTGCATGGGGGAAAATAAACCAACCTGAGACAAGAGTTTTTCTGAATCTCCAACAAAAGGTGAAAAGAGATCAGCTCCGCTCACAGAAACCAAAGAGCAATGGCAGCTGGTGGCCAGGGCCCTCACCAGGGTGGTTTTAGCGCACCCAGGAGGCCCACACAGGAGAACGCCCCTGGGCGGTGTCAGGCCCATCCTAACAAATTCACGAGGGAATTTCAGAGGCCATTCAACGCTCTGCAGTACACAAAAATAGACAGGCATTTTAGTAGAACAATAAAACATCAAATCATCCAGTAAATTCATTTGCCTGTTCAACAAGTCTCAGGTACCCGTTATGAGCTGGAAAAGAGGTCCATTCTCCAGAGCAGCCAGCGATCTTACAACCTAAGTCAGGTCACAATATTTCCTTCCTAAAGTCCTTCAATGACTTGCCATCAGAATTAGAATTAATTGCAAATCCAGACTCCTCACTCGCCACTGCTTACAAGGCCTCGCATAACCTATTGCCCAAATATCCCGGATCGTTCCCATCTCTGGTCCTTTACCTGCTGTTCTCTCTCTGCCTGTACGCTCCCTCAGGATCTTTGTGTGGCTGTCCCTCATCATTCAGGTCTCAGTTCAAACGTCACTTCCTTGAAGAGGTCTTCCCTAACCTCTCGAATTAAAGCAGACTCTCCTTCTCCTAGTCACTCTATGCGACTGCCCATCTTTTACTTTTGGAGCACTTATTCGTGCACTATCTGAAATTATTATTTTTCTATGCTGGGTTTGTCATTCTGCTTCTGCTAGAATGTAAGCCAATATCACCCCTAAATCCCCAGCACCTAGAATGACACTTTCACAAAGCAGGCACTCAATAAATGGTAACTGGATAGTTAAATAAATCTTCACTACTGCTTAGGTAGATATTTTTATCATTATCATTTTACAGATGTTGAATCCCAGCCTTAGGAAAGTTAAATCACTTGCCCTGGACTAAAGCTAGTGAGGCGGCAGAACTAAGACTGACTGCAGACAGTGCAGATCAGGAGCGTAGGTGTTTTAACTTCCAATATATTGCTTCTCTACAAAAGAGGGGCAAGACAAGACCTCTGTGCCGAGGCAACTCATACTTTAGTTGGGGAGATAGGCTTGTAACCTACCAACCAGGCAAGAGAAGGGGCATTCAATAGAGAAGAAACAATAGATATGGAGATACAAGAAACTGTCTAATTTATCCCACCAACAGCAAGTAAGAACAAGGGAAGGATGGGGGAACCAAAAAGCAATAGAATTGAAACAGGAGGAGGAGTCAGATCACAATGCGCCTTAAAAGTTTTAAGCAACATTGAGGAAGCAGTACAGACAGTGGACTAGAAGGAAATGAACCTAGAGGCAGGGAGACCAGTTAAAATTCTGCAACGACTCAGACTATGAAAATAATAAGGCTGGATGTGTCATGGGCAGTGGAGAAGGGGTGGAAGGGATGGACTTGAAACATAAAATGTAATTGTATTTTACACAGGGACTAAGTTCTATATCCAGAGGGGAAGTTATATGCATGCATGATAGGACCCTATGCATTTAGAAGACAGGTTTCTGACTGGGAGGCGGGGCGGGGGCGGGGCTGGCTGTATGCACTGAGGTAGGGCATCCCGGTGTGGAGGTGGAATTGAAAGGCTGAACTTTGAACAAACTGAGTTTGAGATCCCTGGAAGTTATCCAGTAGGCAGGCGGCTATGTAGTTCTGATAACCCAAAGAGCTGTCTGTGTAGAATATAAAGATTTTTTGAGTTAGTTTTCAGGGGACAGCTGAAGCCTTGGACATCAAAATGACAGACTCATTCACAGAATGCAAAGAGGCCTCCCAGGAACTTGGAGCACTAACATTTAAGATACAGTAGAAGAGTGTTCAGAAAGGTAGAAAAGCTTAACATCTCAATGCTAAAGAGTTTTCAACAGGAAGGTGTGGCTAATCTCTCACATATTTTGTGAAGACTAAATGAGACAATGAATGTAGAAAATCAGGGCATGTTATTAATATGCTTATCCATGGACACAGGGATGCCAGGGTTCACTGCAGATATAACTCCTAGTTAAGATGAATAAATTACAATTGATACTTATAGATCAGTCTTTTGTGTGTGTGGTTAGAGCAACCTAGTTCCTTATGGCAGGATCACTGGAAGGTAAGTTGACAAAATCAATTTCTGAAACTGCAATGCAGGCAAGTGCATCTGAGAGTTGTGTCCCTCAACATCCACTCTGAGAACCTGCTCCCAGTAGCCATCCACACTGTTTGTTATAATGTTGTGCTTTTACCAGTCCCAGGCTAAAGTAAGGCCCACCACCTACGTATTAGTACAGCCCATGAACTAAGAATCATTTTTACCTTTTTAAATGCTCGGGAAAAAAATATTTTATGATGTGAAAATTAGATGGTTTCAGGGTCCATAAATAAAGTTTCAACAGAACACAAGTACTCATCATGTACTGCCTGTGGCTGCTTTTGTGCTATGACAGCAGACGAGTGGTTGCAACAGACCGCATGGCCCATAAGGCCTACAATATTGACCATCTGCCCCTCTACAGAGAAAGTCTGCTGACCCCTGTTCTAGACTACGAACTCTTTAAAGCATAAAAGGAACAGAAAGAGAATGAGGTAGGAAAGTATGAAAAATAGTATTTGTTGCCTCGGAAATCCAATGAAATAAAGACTGAAAAGTGATCACTGGATTTAAATGTTGGGGTCAAATTAGCGATGGCAAGAGCAGTAGCAGCATAGCTTGTTTTCATCATAAATACATTAATTACACCCAAACTGTAATACTTTAATGGCTTAAGGAGCCTCTCCATTTCACCTGTTTTAACTTCAGTTTTACATCTTCAAGGCCACCAATCTGCTCCCAGCCAATAGGCTTGATGTCCATCAGTCCAATGACACTTCGAAATGACGATGGCTGAATCTTTTTAAAAGCTTCAAGGAAGTCGGTTTCATCAATCATCGGACTGTCCTCGTTCTGAATATACCCCCACCCCAAAAAAAATCAAATCAAAAATGAGATCAGACTTATTTGCATAATTACTTTTTTATCCTCTTTAAACCTATAAATCTATTTTGTTATTATAAAATTCATACATCTGGTACAAAAAATTAACGCCCCCACATTCATCCCCAAAGGATGTCAACAGTTGCCTGTGTATTCTCCCAGTACGTTTTATAATAATAAGCACATGCACATCCCTTCAAACAGAAAACACAAATGGGACCACGCCATACATATTAACTTGTACTTTTTTTCCCACTTATCTTAGGAATCTCTTCACATCAACTAATACAGTTCTACCTCAGTCTTTTTTTTCTTCCTCATTTTTACATGTCAAGTATTTTTTAATATATATTTCATTGATTATGCTATTATAATTGTCCCATTTTTTTCCCTCCCCTTTATTCCCCTCTGCCCTGCAACCTCCTCCCACCAGCATTCTCCCCTCCTTAGTTCATGTCCATGGGTCATACATACAAGTTCTTTGGCTTTTCCATTTCCTATACTATTCTTAACCTCCCCCTGCCTATTTTGTACCTACTATTTATGCTTCTTATTCCCTGTACCTTTTCTCCCATTCTCCTCCCTCACCCTCCCCTCTGATCTCCATTTCTGTAATTCTGTTCCTGTTCTAGTTTTAAGCTTAGTTAGTTGTTTTTTTTTTTAAGTTCAGTTGTTGCTAATTGTGTGTGTTATAAGTTTGTTTTCTTTTTAAGATTTTGTTTATGTATTTTTAGAGAGCAGAGAAGGGAGGGAGAAAGGGAGGCAGAGAAACATCAGATGTGTGAGAGAAACATTGATCTGGTAGCTCTTACAGGCCCCCAACCAGGGACCTGGCCCGCAACCCTGGCGTGTGCCTTGACAGGGAATTGAACTAGTGACCTTTATGTTTGTGGGACAACGCCCAACCCACTGAGCCACACCAGTCAGGGCTACATGTCAAGTATTCTATGTAATTTCCTCAAAGCAGAACTACAGAGTTTAAGAACATGAACATTTACAGATGTGACAGCTATTACCAAACTGTCCTCAAAGCTGCACCAATAAATAAAAAGCTGCTGTCTCTCCCCACACTTCTCTGACAGTGGACATTACCAAACTTTTCACTTCTCCCACTGTGACAGAGGAAATAGGACTCACTGTTGTGTTAATTAAATTTGTTCAATCAAGAGTGAGATCAAGGGAGTAAAGGAATTAGAAAATCACCTTTTTTGGAACCATCATAGTAAAGGCTTTTCTGAGCAAGAATCATTAACGAATTCTAACTTAGGAGAGGGACAGTTTGACGAGGGGCAGGGTTATCTCCATGACCTCAAAGGGTGTCCTCATAGGTTTATTAGTTGCAGAAGGAAAGACAGCAGCTATACAGTGGAGAAACTGGACAAAACCTTGACTGGCTGATCACATCAGTCACCACTTAGGGGCATCGCTAAAGAGGGACAGTGGACATCTTGTGCCTCCCCATGTAACACCCTAAATACACACTATTACTTATGTAGTATTCTCAACAGGTATGCATAACCTGATTCTATGAAGAAACATTACACAAACCAAACTGAGAGGCATTCTGTAAGATCACTGACCTGCATCCTTAGAAAATGCCAATGTCAATGTCAAATCTCTCTCTCTCTCTCTCTCTCTCTCACACACACACACACACACACACACACAGAGTTATGAAAGTGTTCAAGATTAAAAGTAAAAATTAAGTGTAATATATGATCCTGGACTAGATTCTGTACTTAAAGAAAATGCTAAAAAGATCAAAACTATTACCAAAATCAGAATACAGACTGTAGATCTGATAACATTTTGTATCAATATTAAATTTCCTGAATATGATTATACATAACCATACTGTGGTCATGTATGAGAATATCCTTGTTGTTAGGAAATAGAGATTAAGACACTAAAGGATAATGGGTTATGATATATGCAACCCATCTTCAAATGATTCAGAAAAAAATGTGTATACACACATACATACATAGAGAAAAAATATTGGGTTGACCAGAGAGTTCACTTGGTTTTCCGTAAGATGGCTCTAGTAGCGCTTAGTTGTATTTAACTTCATTTGAAACAATTTTGTAACACTGTATTGTCACAGCTGTCATATCAGCATGCATCTAAATAAAACTTATCAAAATTGGTGAATTTTTGTGTAGTCATTTTTATATTGAAAACCAAAAAATACAGGCAACATTTTTGACATATTATGATTTATTATTTTAAGAAAAGTAAAAATGCAGCTGAAATGCATAAAAAGATTTATGCAATGTACAGAGAAGGTGCTGTGGCTGATCAAACATGTCAAAAGTGGTTTACAAAGTTTCATGCCAAAGATTTCTCTCTGGATGATGCTCCACAGTTGGGTAGACCAGTTGAAGTTGATAGTGATCAAATAGAAACATTAATTGAGCACAATCAATGTTATACCACTTAGGAGCATGTATAGCCAACATGCTCAAAATATCCATATCAATAAAGTTATTGGTGAAAATAGAAAATGTGTCTCTTATTTCATGGAAAAAAACTAAACCGACTTTTTGGTCAACCCAATATAAAGCTAATTAGGCAAAATGTTAAAAACTGTTGAATTTGGATAAAGGATTTAGCAGGAGTTCCCTGTCTTGCAACTTTCCCCAAAGTTTTAATTATCTCAAAATAGAAAGTTAAAAAAACCTGAAAGAATGTAATCTTTAAAGAGAATTTTTCATGTTTATTGACCATTTGTAATCCTTTTACTGTCAACTACCTGTTCATACCTTATTACCCAATTTTTCTTGGATTGTTTGTCTTTTCTTACTGATATGTGAGAGTTGTTCCTACATCAAGGTAATTGGTCCTTCTGTCATGGGCTAAAAGCATTTTCCTCAGTCTGTCTTGTGTCTTATCTTTGCTTATAGTATTGTTTTGCCATTCCAAAATGTTCAAATAGGAAATTATTCCCTTTTTTTGGCTACAAGGTTTTATGTTTTGCTAAGAAAGACTATCTTCACCCTAAGATTATATTCTGGAGAATCTTCTAGCAATTTCCTTAATCATTCTAGGGAAGCAGATTTTTTGTTCAAGTTAAAAACTCAGATTTGTATTTATAATATCCATATTACATTTAAGTATTTGCCCTCTTATATCAAATTCTAAACATTTACTTGTCCAAAAATGTTCATTTTTAATAACAAACTATTTTATTACATTTATATTAGATTATATAAGTGAATATGTATGTATAGAGCAATTCTAAACAGCATTCCTAAAAAATTTTAATGATTATAATCTCTCTGGGAGATTTCAGGCAATTTTTACTTTCTTGATAATTTCTTATCTTGTTGATAATTCCTTACAAAGGACACTGTTAAATAATTTTTTAAATACCTTTCTTTTTCTAAACTTGCTGGCAGTATTAGGTACTGGATACTTGAATACTAATTAATTTTTACGTAACACCTACTAACATTTGAAAACCCCATCTATATATCAAGATCACTTGTATGCCCATTATTTCACTTGACTCTCATAATCCTCTCAGGCACATTAAATTCCCTTCCCTCTGTGTGTACATGTGTATATGTTATTTCTCATCCTTTAATAGGAATACTTCACAAAAAGCTGAACAAACTTTAATGTGTCCCTTTTCTGCCCTGGCACAGACAGAGGCAGTAGCAGGCCCTCAGCTGCTTGGAGGAGGAAAGAAGAAAAAGATGGAGCCAGTACCTCTCCAGATGCCTCTGTCCCTTCTTCCTTTATGTCTTTCTTTCTTCCACTTCCCCTGGTTGTTTATGAACTCAGCCATCGCCTGTGGTAACTATGCCTGGGCAGGCCCCTCCTCAAGTAGCACTGGGCTCCACCCTAGGATGACAGCAGCTGGCTGGTCCACCTAAGCCAAGGTGCTTAAGGTCAAACCTGGAACTTCAAAGCAGAGGGAATCCTAAATGTAAATTTCATTTCCCATCCCTTGGTACTCTCTTCATCCCCTCGAAAGGCGTATATTCTTACAACTGTACACATGGGACTTGTCATTAATCTTCAAGAAGCTTTGGTTCTAAACCCAGAAGATGAGGACTTAAGTTTATGTAATTCCTTCCCCAACGTCAGTGTAAGAGCAAAAATAAATGAAATGAGGAAGGATACAAATTATCTAGGTAAAGAGGTTTTAAAATTTCAGGATAAATCATCCTTTCATAGTTTAAAACTATGAATTCAAACTCAAAGTTGAGTTTTAAATATTATAAGCTCAAAGGACAATTTTAACATTACAACAGAGATTAAAAACTTCATCCCAAAATCCTTGGCATGCTGAAATTAATTTTTTTCTAAAGGGGTTTAGGAGTTCAGGATTACTTATTATATACAAAGTGAACAGATTTCCAATCCATAGTGTTGAAAACTACTATATTTAAGCTAATATTCTAAATATTTTTAAGAAAGGTGGTCATGAATGAAAGATTCGAATGTCAAAGTCAAATTTAAATAAAATTCCAGGTGCCCAATCTTTCCCTGAGTTAGAAAAGTTTATTTTCCCTACAAGATACTTATTAATAACAAAGGGAGATAGTATCGTGACAATGGAAAAATCTTGGAGATACCACCTTATCCAAGAAATCAAAGTTCATAGGACAAAGAGATATCATTTGCTACCTAACAGATGCAATGAGAAGAACACAATATAATTCTGTGACAGTCCTGCCAAAAATGCAAAACCTGAATCAAATTATGAGAAAACATTAGTCAAACCAAACTGACGAATATTTTACAGAATAACTGACCTGCACTCTTAAAAAATGATACATGAAAGAAAGGCTGAAAAATGGTTCTAGATCGAAGAAGATTAAGAAATTTTAACAACTAAATGCAGTGTGTAGTCCTGGATTAAAAGTAATATTTTCAATTTTCTTTTTTAAATTTTTCTCTAAAGGAAATTGGTGGAACAAATGGTGAGATTTGGGTAAGGTCTAAAATATCATGTCAGTGTTAATTTCCTCACTTTGATAATTGTACTGCAGTTAAAGTCCTTGTTTTTAGGAACAATTCACTTAAATTTTCAAGACGAAAAGGGCATCATGGCTGCAGGATATTCTCAAATGTAAGAAACAGCTGTGGAAGTTATCAAAAGTTCCAAGAAAATGTACTTACCACTTTTTTTAGGCCACCAAATTAATTTGTTATCTTAATAAAAAACTTAGCACACATGTTTTGAGCACCAGTGTTTCCTACCTTCCCACTATGAAGCAGAGCATGCATGGCGGCCTCCCTGCAGAGCGCTGTCAGGTCTGCGCCAACGTAGCCAACTGTCATTTCTGCAAGGCGGCTCAAGCTGACTTGAGGACAGATGGGCATCTTTGAGGTAATCACCTGTAGAATCTCCTTTCTTTGTTTAAGTGTGGGAGTCCCAATGACAACCTATATGCAAAGCAAAAAAAAAAAAAAAATTAACGTTTACAGTTTAAAATACAATTTTTTATCATCACAAATGTAGAATTTAATGTGTAAATTAGAAATTATTACTATGTACTCTTAAGTATTCCTTATATTTTGAACATATGAAAATCCTCGTTTTTCAGAAGAGTAACAGTGCCTGTAAAGTTGCACAATGAAAATTACACATGTCATTTAAGAAGTTTTTATTTGTTATTTTTGAGGCTATACCAAATTCTAGGATCCAAGTCCCAGTCCTTATGGAGGTGATGCAAGAGAGTGGTACTAGATGGTGCCAGAAATAAATCTATTCAAGATCAGAGCAGAGTAAGCTAAATGCATGCAATTACCATGTTTCTTTAGGATCCTGCCACAAAGTTCAAACATAACTTCAACTAAGCACTATTCAAACTATTTAATAGAAATCAAGAGTCAATTTAAGACTGAAGCTTATAAAACAGGACAGCTTTGAATACTCAACCTTCCTGGCAACTCAGGGAGCAGTTGTAGGAGAGGATGCTGACAACCTGACAAGCAATGTCAGATTATCAGATAAGTTGATGTCTGCTCTTGATTTAGTTCTTCCCTACCTTCATCCTTTTATTTTAACACATTTATATCTCGAAGCTATCTTTTTATTTTAAATTCTCAATTCCAAACTCATTAGGTTTTAATGCGCTTGCAGCAGACCTACTTGCCCTAAAAAATTAACTTTACTGATTATCGTACTCTTGTTCAGGACCTGCACAACAAAACGAACCCCTAATGGCCATCTTGCTTCTCAGAACCATTTGTAGAGAAACACAAATCCTGGCTCGCAGCTCGTATACTGACATTGAACGAATGTGTGTTCTTCGCGTTACAAACAGCCTCACTCCAGCCTCACCGACTTCCAAGCCTAAGTGGCAAACAACGCGGGGAAGCCAGCCAGGGCCATAAAAGGTCGAGGTTCCAGGGGTAATGGGCTAACCGGCCTGGCCTATTTACCTCTCGGTCAAATCGCCCAGGTCTGCGCAGCGCTGGGTCTAGAGCGTCAGGCCGGTTGGTGGATCCCACCACCACCACCTCGCGGTCCCCGCTGATGCCATCTAGCAGCGTCAATACCTGGGCCACCACGCGGCTCTCCGGGGCTTGGTGTGGGCCACCCCGCCGGGGACATAGGGCGTCTACCTCGTCCAGGAAGAGGAGGGTGGGCTTGCGGCTGGAAAGCTCCTGGGCGCGTTGGAAGACCCGCCGCACGTTCTCCTCGGTCTCCCCGGGCCGGGAGCCCTGCAGCGCGGGGGCGCTCACTGCCAGTAACTCCGCGCCCACCTCCCGCACTACAGCGCGCACTAGCTGGGTCTTGCCTACTCCCGGGGGGCCCGCCAAGAGCACCCCGCGGGGCACCGCTAGCCCCAGCGCGGCCAAGGCGCGGGGGTAGCGGAGCGGCAGGCTGAGGAGCTCTCGCAGCGAGTCGGCCGCCTCGGAAAGGCCCCCCAGGGGAACCTCGGGCTGCGATTGCGCTTCCGACGGAGGTACCCCGCTGAGGCCGATGACGGTGTGAGGAGTGACCAGGCCAGCGGGATCCGGACTGGGCACCCCGCTGACGATGTGCAGGGCGGCCACCGGGCCGGGGACGCCATTGGGGACGGCCACCACGTGGCCCTGGGAGACTGGCCGGTTCCGCAAAAGCTCCTGTGCTGCCTCCAGCACCGCGGCTGGATTTGGAGCACCCGGCGCGCCCGCCCGCTCCCGCAACTTCGGCCACACAGTGAGGTGCCTAAGGGGCGGGCAGGGCACCAGGCGGAGGCAGCTCAGGCTGAGACTCCCCTGGAACCTCGGCTTCTCGCCTGCCCACCCGGGATTCGCGCACTGCGGATCCAATTGCACAAACCCGTCCGCTCCGTCCCGCCGCGGCCAGGCGGTGCAAAGGCAGGAGCCGCCGTCAAGCAGCGTGATCTTCACCGCCGAGCCTAAGTGCGCACCCAAGGCATGGAGGGCTGCCGGGCCCAGGCGACAGCGCTGGGTACCCCGGTCCCGGGTATCCAAAGGTAGGAGCTTTAAGAGAGGTCCTTCACGAAGGGGACCCGAGTCCGGGGCCATTGCACACGGAGAAACCTAGGCCGAGCAAAGCAGGGTATGAATGCCACTCGGGCAAGAAAAACCGGTACACCAAGCGCCCCGGCCGGAAGCAGGTGACGCGCATGCGCCAGGGAAAACGTCACTAGCCTCTGAGTGGAGGCCAAAAAGGCCAATCGGAAAGGCTTGGGTCTTGGGGAACAGCTAGTTGTGCTGTCGGAATTTAAGAAATACACTGGACGATTCCAGAGCTTTACGGACGAAGCGTTCGTTAGGGGCGTCTGGGAGACAGCGTAAGCTAATCTCACTAGGTCCAATGACTCGGTGGTTTGGAGGGTCACCGGCAGAGCCTACTCTCCCTGGTTCTCGGACTCGAGCATCACCACCTGCTCATTTGGGATGTCAGCCTAGAGACTGCTGTTTTGTGGGGAAAACCTCCACAGTCCTCATGGGCTGAGTGAGTGCGCTAGTGTTACAGTCTCGGGTGACTTGGGAGTAGCTGAGCAGCACAGCCGTGGGTTCCAGCCTTTGCATAGGAAAGCGCCAGCACAGCAATAGAGCAGCACAGTGGAGCATTTTAAATCCCTTGAAGAGAAGAAAGAAGGAAAACCGGGCCGTCTGACGTATTTGTGGCACACCAACTTAATCATAATCCTTTCTGTTCTTGTGATGAATTATCATTGTCTTTTTAGGGGACAGAAGCATTGAGTCCTGTGTTAGAGGCGATGCCTGTCTACATTAAAACTTCCCCCTATTCTCTTTCCATCTCTTCTCTAGCCACCGGGAATTACTCTTTTCCTCTTATCAGCTGAAATACATTTCCTCTCTTTTTAAATTCTACTCATCAAAAAGAGCTACAGATATTCAAAATTTTTAAAAGTGCCTTGTTTTTTATCATACTCAAGCCTTCTACCTCTATTTTTCTCACCTTCACAGCAACCCCAATTTATGAAATTTCAAAATGGAGTTTTTGGATAGAGTGCTTAAGTCACTGGAGGGTTGTTTTTTTTTTCCTGCTTAAGCAAATAGTCGACCCTTAAACAATGCTAGAGTTAAAGGTGCCCCCCCCATCAAAAATCTGTATAACTTTTGACTCCCCAAAAACTTTATTAATAGCCTACTGTTGGTTGGAAGTCTTACCGATAACATAAACACTCGATTAACACATTTTTTATGTTGTATGTATTATATACTATTTTATTACAAGAAAGTAAGCTGGAGAAAATGTTATTAAAATAAGGAAGAGAAAATACATTTACAGTACTGTACGTAGCTATTGAAATGTAGCCATATTAATGGGCCCAGGCAGTTTAAACAGGTGTTCAAGGGTCAACTGTAATCAACTACAGACTCTATAGCAAGGTCTTCTCAATGGAAAGTACTGTCAGATCTGAGATCTTAAAACCAATGCAAGTTCCTGGCCTTACTCTACCCAAACCTCAGGGCAAACACTGTGACTGACTTCGGGATTCCACAATTATCTGGTCTCTGCTGTATGTCTCTAGCTGGGACAACTTAAAAGGAGTCAGGAAATAGCATACTAAGATGAGGCCCTGAAATGGCTAAGTCACCCACTACATCCCATTTTCTTTTTTCTCTTAATATTATTGTCTCCTGTCCTCCAAACTCAGACTTTTCAAGAACAGTTGTATTTTCTGAAATAAAAAGCCAATATTTTTACAGACCCCTTGAAGGTGTGAATAAAATGCCCACCAAGTTATTCTGTAATGATGCCTGTACCTCACAAAAGTTCTTTTACTCTGGTTCCAAGAAGTTTTGAGGATCCAAAAAAAAGGGAAAGAAGACAATGCAGACATAACTGTCTTAAATATGTATAGGACTGTCTTATAAAAGAGTTGGTATATGTATATATATACCTGCAGTGCAGAACTGGCCAGGAAGTGAAAGTGTAATAGAGGGAACATAAAAGTCCTCCTTATATTCTTTGTATGGTCATATGGAAGAGGTAGGAGACTTCTTTTTTTTAAGGTTTTATTTATTTTTAGAGACAGAGAGGAAAGGAATAAGAAAGAGAGGGAGAGAAATGTCAATGTGTGGTTGTCTCTCACATGTCCCCTACTGGGGAACTGGTCCACAACCCAGGCATGTGCCGAGAGTGGGAATTGATCCAGCAACCCTTTGGTTCCCAGGCCGGCTCAGTCCACTGAGCCACACCAGCCAGGGTGGTAGGAGACATTTTATAAGATATAGCCAAAAGCATAACCAAAACTAAACCAAGGAGGCAAATAAAGTTATATAAATCCATCATAGAGTTTTCTGCATTTGGTTTAAACAAATGTAAATGCTGTGATACGAGGAATATGATGTGGAAGAAATTACATGTTGCTTTGGGCTGGTCTGAAAGATTGACTTTATACAAAGTCAAACTAGAATTAGCTGGCCTTGTTGGACACATATACCCATGAAATAGTCACTTTACCCATTCCCTAAAAGGCCCAGTTCTTACCTTAGAGCAACTAAGAATCCTGTTCTGGGGCCTTCAGCTCTTATTCACACACTCGCAGCAGAACTATAACTGTCTTTTCTAATTAGTGAAATCTACTGTGTCCCTTTATGTCGGATCTTATGCAATGCTCTCTTAATATCCACATTTATTATACCATTCACTAATATAATCTTCCTCTGGGAAACCATTGTAATAGGAGTTGTGTGGTTCTTTTTTAAAATTTTTAAAATATATAACCCAAAAGTTGGTATTTCTATGACCTGAAGAGTACCAATTAAAGCACCAAAAGGCCAAACCACTAGAGGGAGTCCGGAACCATATAAGCCTGAAGGCTACAGGATTTTTCAGTTCCAAGGGTTTTCAACTGTGGCTTCTACTAGACTTTTTCCCCAAGATTTACACCCAATGTATGAAATATTTAGTTGTTTATACAGTTACTTATTTTCACATTAATTTCTACATGTCTCAGACCATACAGAACTCATTTTCAAAGTTTAATTTAATTGCTGTATTAAATATCATAATGAGATTCTCCCCCAATTCAAAATTTGGTAGTAGATTGCTATCCAAACAAACTGAATTTATCTTGCTATAGTCTAGAAATAACTATAACTTTTAATTGTGTCAAACAGCCTCACAAATCTGTTGTGAGATTTTCCTAAAGAGATGCATTTAACAGTTTCCCTTTATTTCAGTTGCTACATTCAAGGTTACAATCTATCTAATATTAGATTAACTATAAACATTCTTAAATAGCAATAAATCTAAGATTCAAAAGAAATAGTTGGAACTTGTTTTTTTAAGAATAATAATTGTACATTATTTGTGTCTCTTCAGCATCAATATTACATATTAAATATATTTCAGGATGTGAAATATACCATAATTGTGAAAAATCTAAAGAAAATTACTAAGCCAGTAGCATGAGACATCTATAGATCCATGAATGCTAATTTTTCTTATGCTTCCATTTTCATGTTACATTCAGCCCTAGTATATTTGAACAATAGCAACAATGATTGAGTTGTAATAGATGAATATAGAGATTCATTTAACCACACTTGGAAAGAAATGATTTATAAATGCTTTATCTCAATATATTCATGCAGGTATATCAAGTGACTTATTGCCACAGATACCTAATATAACAAAAAAATCTTTCTTATTTGAAAGTAAATGAGAAAATCTCCTAAAATAGGACCTTGTTAAAAGTGTTCTTTATATGTTTCCAGTTTTAGTTTTTCTCAGATATCCTGGCTAGAATTATTCTTTACAAGATACAGAGTAATGGGAGGGGGGCAATTAGAGCTATCAGAAATCTTTGCTGAATTATAAATGACCAGCAGACTATATTTCATAGAACACTATTCAGTCAATCTATTCTTGCAGATTTTTGGGAAACTTCTTGTTCCATCACATTTTAGAAGGTAAGTCTTTAAGATAATTAACCTGCATGATATTGGTTCATACTGTTCAACTAGTAAAAAGACTAATAGTCATGTGTATTAAACAAATATTTATTGAATATCTACTTTATGCCACTTAATGTACCAGAGACTGAGTATATGGTGGTTTTTTAAAAAATGTTATTATTTGCTCATTGTATTTCATTGATCTACTTGATTATTTCTATGCTGGTGTCATGTTGGTTTAATTGCTGAGACTTTATAATGGTTTTAAATTTTTTTAATATTTTATAATTTTACATTAAGAAAATAAAATCAATCTGCATTTAAGAAAGAAAGAGAGAGAGATGGAACTCCTACCTTTTGCGACAACATGGATGGAACTGGAGAATATTAAGTTAAGTGAAATAAGTGAGTTGATTAAAGACAAATACCATATGATCTCACCTATAAGTGGACTCTATTCAACAAAATAAACAAACAAAATAAACCACAGGCACGGAAACACGGAACAGACTGAAAGTGCCAGAGGGGATGGGGAAAGAGGGCAATGGTGGAAAGAAGGGGAAGGGACTAGACAAAGAACATGTATGAATGACCCATGGACATGGACAACAGAGTGGGAACTGACTGTGGGAGCGGGGGTGGGGTGGGATAGGTGGAGGGGGGGTAGCGGGGTAAAAACAGACAACTGATAGAATAAACATGATTTAAAAATTAAAAATAAAATAAAATAGAGTAAAATCTGAAAAAGAAAAAAATATCTGTTGTGAAAGCAAAAAAAAAATGTTACTCTTGAATTCATGAAGTTTATGGTCTAGTGAGGAAGTCAGACATTAAAGGACTCAATAAGTGAATAAACCAGATAATTAAAGATGATAAAAATTTCTATGAAGAAAAATAAACAGAAAAGGGCTACTTTACACAGGGAAGCAGGGAAGTGACATTTAAGCTCAAACCTGAAATTTCAGAAGGAACCAGGCAGAAGAATTGGGGGTGGGGGGATTACCAGCCAGAGGGAAAGGGTGGGACATGTTTAAGAAATTTTTAAAAGGCCAGTTTTGTCTTTACCATACCTTTGGCACTTATATTTTAATTTTTCTAATTTTACATATGTAAAATAAGATGGATATTTTGTTATCTCCATAGATAGTTGTTTAAGGA